CCCCCTTCCCACGATAGACTTAACACCTGGGGATTGGCTGGTTTGAACCATCCGGACGAACTATGGGGTGGGGTTTGCTTGGGGACACTTTAACCTATTGAACTGCACGGGAAAACCTCAGATCCTGTCTAGTATGCCTGCTATCAGCTTCTCCTAATAAAAGTTCCTTTTGGAAGAGCCTACTTCCATGAGTTCTGCTTTCTTGGGATGATGTATTGAGGTAGCCCCTGACAGTGGCACACTCAGAAAATAGCGGTCACTTCTAGGATCGCACCATTTGGGGGATGGGAGCAAGAGAATGGCAGGGGAGTGCTGTAGGATTCTTGCAGTCAATCGTAAGGTAAACAACCACTGAGGTACTGCAACAACTGTAACCGGGTCATAAGGGGACCTTCAATTAAGGGAGGGTCTGCCATAATTTCAATTGCTAAATAAAAGCTATCCGTAGACTATTCTTTTAGAATAGCTTTAACTTGGTGTTTAGTTACAAGAAAGAGCTCTTGTGTAATGGTCCCATCAGAGCCTGGGTTAGGAGGAAAAAGAGTTGGAACCGGAACCATCTAATGGTTCCCTTGGAAAAGTTGGAGAGGCCAAGGGCTGAGGATGATGCTATCCCAGGCCCCTCAGGCAGTGGGGGAGATGGTCAACCGGATGGAGAGTTGCCTGTCCTCACAGACACAGGGGAGGATCAGCTGCAGACAGGTAGTTGTGCTGATAAGCAGTAGATCACTACTGATGAGGAACAGTTGCCTCCCTCACTCAATTTAAGGGCACAAAGAGTAGAGCGGAGGCAAGTTCAAAGCAGAGCTGCGGGGCTACTTAGGAGAAAGTCACCCTGCCCCTCACAAGGAATACTTGGTGTGGGTTAACTTAAGAAGAAACTGGGGTGGGGGGCAGTTTGTCTTTGCCAGGAACAATTATTTATTTTGGCTTACACTCCCCTACTCTAAACCTCTTGTCCCCTACCACATGAAGCTTAGGAATATACAATCTCTTGATCTGGGTCTCTTTTTAGGAAAGCACTATGTTGCCAAACTCTCTCCTATTGTTCCTCCAGGTGCACATCCCATCATGTGTTTAATAGTTACCTTGACAGAATAATTTTTGCTTTGGAATTATACTATAGGGGTAATAGTTGGTTACTAATAACTATATTAGCACTTATATAAATATATATTAAAGATAATAAATGAATGATTTATTTTTGTAATGTTTAATTGTTAATTCAGATTAGATTTTGCTTATTATCAGTCATTAGGGTGCTTAGGTTTTAAACAGAAAGAGGAATATATATATATGTATATATATATATATATCTTTGAGTAGGCCCAAATATGGGAGAAAGGAATCTTTTGCCTGTATCAGCTCAAACTAGAGCCATCCACAGGCTTAGCAGTCGCAACTGCGACATTATATGTGTTTTTCAAAATTTGGATTGCTAACAAAGAATTAAGGGAGAACTGGAATAGCCATTTCGAACATTTTAGTTCCTTTCAACCAGACATACCCTTCTGAGATTCGAACCTGGGCTGTCTGCATGTTAGGCAGATGTATTAACCTCTAGGCCACAGGTTCTTTCTCACTTTGTCAGCTATGCAAAAGATTCCTTTCTCCCATATTTGGGCCGACAGGGTGCACCAAACTCAAGATAATTCTTCTCCCCTGTCTCATAGCTGACAAAGTGAGAAAGAACCTGTGGCCTAGAGATTAATACATCTGCCTAACATGCAGACAGCCCAGGTTCAAATCTCAGAAGGGTATGTCTGGTTGAAAAGAACAAAAAGTTCGAAATGGCTAATCCCGTTCTCCCTTAATTCTTTGTTAGCAATCCAAATTTTGAAATATGGTATATATATACATATACCATAAAATAATCCGAACACCAGGATAATACTAAAAACAAAACTGTTTAATTAAAAGCTGAGCCTTTCGTCGGTCAACACTACCAAGATCATCAGATGCAAGACTGCTGGGAGTCCTTCTTATGCTGCCGGGCGGCTTTGCACTCGGCTCCTTGACCTAGTTATCAGTCCATCCGTTCTCTCCATCTGGTTTCTTAAAGGGCCCACGTCCTTTATTGTTTAGTGCCCTCCGAGGTTGCTGTTTCCTTCCTCCTGGATTCAATCACTCTCCGTTTCTGCTTGCCCACTCTCGCGTCCGTCATCCTCTCTAGCCCCATTCCGTGGTCCGTTGGATCCAGATGGAGAGAACGGATGGACCGTTAACTAGGTCAAGGAGCCGAGTGCAAAGCCGCCCGTCAGCATAAGGACTCCCAGCAATCTTGCATCACGCTCTGATGATGTCGGTAGTGTTGACCGACGAAAGGCTCAGCTTTTAATTAAACAGTTTTGTTTTTAGTATTATCCTGGTGTTCGGATTATTTTATGGTATGGATTTACCCAGGATTCGCATTTTTAGCATAATTAGAGACTATATATATATATATGCAGGTCTTGGCATTTTCAGGTCTTTTCCCGTGTTAAGATTGAGAGTATCTTGGCGACGTTTCGACAAGGTCCCACTTGTCATCTTCAGGCTGGGGTCTTCGGCACAAGCACGAAGCCAAAGACCCCAGCCTGAACGAGTGGGACCTCGTCGAAACGTTGCCAAGATACTCTCAATCTTATATGGGAAAAGACCCGAATACGTCAAGACCTGCATACCTGTACCCGTGAAAAACTTTGGCTTCGTGTTCGTGGTCGTGCCATATCTTTATGGTGGGTGTCAGTTTGCTTCATGTATGGATTGGAGGGGTTTAAAGTGGCTAATGATGCAGCTGTGGACTGGCTTCTAGTTTGTGGTCGTACCTCATCATCTGTGTGGGTTTGGGTTTGCTTTTTGCGTGGATGTGTGGTGGTGACATCCTGTGTGGTTTTCGTGAGTGTGGGTCTGGTGTCATTCTTTGTGTTAGGGACTCATTTGCCAATAAGGGCGGGTTTCCAAATGGCTGGTAGGCGGGAGGTATCATCTCGTTTATTCATGCTGTGTGGGCGTTTTTCTATCTCAATGGCTTCTCTGATTATTCTGTTGTTAAAGTGTTCAGTTTGGGCGATAGTTCTGGTCTTTTTAAAGTCAATTTTATGTCCTGTGGCTTTTAGGTCCTGTGGCTTTATGTCCTGTGGGGCAGGCAGTGCATGGGATTTAATGTGGTGGGGCAGGCGGTGCATGGGATTTCATTGAAATCCCACGCACCGCCTGCCCCACCACATACATCGGACAAACCAACAGAAGAATAAATGCACACATTGAAGAACACAAGAACTCAGTCAGAAAAGAGGAACCAACTTCTTCCCTGGTCCAACACCTTAAAGCCACAGGACATAAAATTGACTTTAAAAAGACCAGAACTATCGCCCACCATAAAGATGTGGCACGACCACGAACACGAAGCCAAACAACAGCAACGCAGCTCACCATCTCAAATCCCCCTGCAACTCAGACTAACCCAAGCACAACAAAGCCCCCACCCAAACAGAACACTCCCCCATCCAATCAGAGCACAGCCAACCCCCCATCCAATCAGAGCACAGCCAAGCCCCTTAACCAATCAGAACACATCTCCACCCAATCAGAACATAGCCAAGCTCCCACCCAATCAGTTCAAACCCCACTGGCAGTTAAAAGGAAGAAACAGCTGCAATCTCACATTACTCCTAGAAGCACGAAGCTGAAAACACCAGTCTGAAGATGACCAATGTGACTTTGTCGAAACATCGCCAACACACTTCCAATTCTACGCGGGAGAAAACCCGAATAACCAAAGACCTACATACAAACACCCGCGAAAATCTCAGAAAACACACACACACACACACACACACACACATATATATATATATATATATACATACACACACACATATACACACATATACATATACATATACATACATACATACATACATACATACATACATACATACATACATACATATATATATATATATGAGTGCTTTTTGAACACCCTGTCAGCCTAAATATGGGAGAGAGAGAAGTCTTTTGCCTCCATCAGCTCAATCCAGAGCCATCCACAGGCAGCAGTCGCTTAACTGCGACATCATATGTGTTTTTCAAAATTTGGATTGCTAACAAAGAATTAAGGGAGTACTGAGATAGCTATTTCTAACCTTATTTGGTTTTCATCAGTCAGACNTAATTCTTTGTTAGCAATCCAAATTTTGAAAAACACATATGATGTCGCAGTTAAGCGACTGCTGCCTGTGGATGGCTCTGGATTGAGCTGATGCAGGCAAAAGACTTCTCTCTCTCCCATATTTAGGCTGACAGGGTGTTCAAAAAGCACTCATCCTCTTCCCCTGTCTCTTGTAGCTAACAAAGCGAGAAAGAGCCTGTGGCCTAGGGGCTAATGCTTCTGCTTAACATGCAGACAGCCCACGTTCAAATCTCGGAAGGGTATGTCTGACTGATGAAAACCAAATAAGGTTAGAAATAGCTATCTCAGTACTCCCTTAATTCTTTGTTAGCAATCCAAATTTTGAAATATATATATATATATGTTGTATATATGTTGTACATATATATATGTTGTAGTTAACAAAACCACTATTTAACCATCCAATTTCAGACAAAAAAGATATTCCATCTTATTAAAATATTTAATTTAAAGTTATCAAGCTCTATGATCTTAATTAGTCAGATCCTGGCTGCTTCCTATGACTGACAAGATCTTAACCCATGCAACTATCATTCTTTTAAGTACGAGGGCAATTCGGAAATAAACCTCCGTTATCAATGACAGACACTCGCAGATACAGAACTTTTATTATACACATTAGAAAACTACAACATTATTTTTTGACATAATCGCCATTCAAATTGTGGCACTTGTCATAACGACTTACAAGGTTTGAAATTCCTTCTGCAAAAAAAATCTCTCGCCTAGGAATGAAGCCATCCAGAATTAGCAACCATACTTTCTCCAACATACTTATACATTTCAAAATAATATTGTCTAAAAATATTGAGAAAACTTTTCTTACCTGTTATTAAAATTAGTGCAAAAAGTAAGATTTCTACAACCGAGCTGACAAGGTTCACGTACATCTGCTAAGCAAGTCAACATGGAAACTTCAATGGGATTATATTCACAAAAACGATCAAATTCTTGCCAGCTTTGTGTATTGCCCCAGCTGCTTGTATAAAGTTTAGTGCACACATCTCTAAAAAGAGAGTATAAATATATGTGAAATAAAAAAAATGAAATATTTTATGTTTAAATATACTTTAGCATATAGTTCATAAGACTTTTTGCCCCAACCATAGAAAGGAAAACATAAGGACTGCAAGAAGTTGTAGACTTTTAATTATGTCCAACCCATTGTTGATATAATCATTAAAAAGAGTTTGCTAATAATCTTTTGTATAGTTACTGAAATTAGTTCTATTGGACATACCAAGTCTTACCTGTGAATGCCTAGGACATGCTTGTTATTGTTGTTGTTAATTGCAAAGTTGTGTCCAACCCATCGCGACCCCATGGACAACGTTCCTTCAGGTCTTCTTGTTCTCTACCATCTTCTGGAGTCCATTTAAGTTCACGCCTACTGCTTTAGTGACTCCATCCAGCCACCTCATTCTCTGTCGTCCCCTTCTTCTATTGCCCTCAATCTTTCCCAGCATTAGGCCCTTCTCCAGTGAGTCCTTCCTTCTCATTAGGTGGCCAAAGGACATGCTTAGAATCATACTATTTTCTTCTTGTGTCTTAAAGAAGACACTGTTTCTGTTTCTTCCTGAATTACTGAATATAACTGATGTTTTAAATATTTATACCCTTTTCAAAATAAAAACAGACTGTTCTTCACAATTGCCTGACTGCTCATTTCCTAGATAGCAAACTCAGAAGCTAGATGATGAGTTGCCTATCTCGGTTTCATAGTCTAGAAATAGTGCATTTTGGACACAGCGGTGTCATATGGAGCTACTTTAATTTGCACTCATGCTTAAGTGCAAATTGATATCCCCCATGGAAATACTGAGACATAGATTGGAAGGGGGGGAGGCTTGAAATTCATGAAATTCATGCAGTCTGGAAAGCTGCAACTAATTCAAAAAGAACAAACCAGATAGAAAGGACAGGGATATTAAACTATATACTGTATATTCACTTGCACAAAAATTTAGGAATCAGAGTATGGAAATCCTTTTGAAACTGTTTGGCTCAAAGGCAAGGAAGCAGGCAGGCAGGCAGGCAGGCAGGCAGGCAGGCAGGCAGGCAGGCAGGAAGGAAGGAAGGAAGGAAGGAAGGAAGGAGATGTAGCCATGGGAGTTTATTATACCTTGCTTGGGCACAAATAACTTTTATATAAGGCCTGTCTGCAAGATATTGCCAGTCTTTCAAAGAAACCTGGAATAGTGACAATGGGAGATTTCAATGATTGGGGGTTCTGTTGAGAATCTATCACTGCTGAGTTAAAGGTGCAATAATTTTTTCTCCTTCCTTGTTGACAATCTCATTTGTCAGGAGGTGGATGAAATAACAAAATTTTCAGCTTCAGAGACATTTACTTTATTAGAAGTAATAAATTTAATAAAACAAAAAGCCCACAACTATTCTTTATCAATACTTGTTACAATGCTCTAAACCTGCATCAAAATTTCAACAAATGACTATAGCTTACTCAACAAAAATAATATTTCAGGCTTATTCAGGACTTATTCAGACCTAGTGTGTTTCTATGGCAAAGAACAAGCAAATCATTGAATGGTTGGAAATGTAATAATAACAGTTCATTAAAATGTATTGTACAAGTTATTAAAAATCCCTGCCTCCCAGTCTTATAAAGCACTACTGATACTTCACATGATCTTGATTCTATTCCTCTGTTTCACCTAATCTATACCTGTACATTTGGTATTTCTTGCCTAAGTGTAAAACCTTACTTTTCTCTACACTGAATTTCATTTTGTTAGATAGGGTCCAGTGTTCAAGTTTGTCAAGATCCATCTGGATCTTGAGCCTGTCTCCTGGGATATTGGCTATTCCTGCCAGTTTAGTGTCATCTGCAAATTTATGAGTTCTCTTTCTATTCCTTCATCTAAATTGTTTATGAAAATGTTGAAGAGTACTGGGCTTAAAACGGAATCTTGGGGTAGCCCAATGCTTACTTCCCTCCAGACAGATGTAGTTCCATTAAGGACTACCTATTGAGTATGTGAATGAAGTCTCGCTATTCTTCATTGCACTGCACACCAAAAAGACAATTCCATAATCATGAAAGAGAACCAATATGAAGACCCTATTGCAAAATGGGTAGTAATGCAGCTCTCAACCCTGCCTATGGTCACTCTAGCCTGCAAGTACATGCAAAAATCTCTTATAAGAATTTCTTAGAAAAAGGAGAAGTGGAGCACTGGAAGGAGAAATATGAATTTTTGAAGAAGGCTTCTGCCGAGTTCCAGATGATCAACTCATCATCTTCCAGAGTGTCAAAACCCATAAGAGGGACTCTCTTCTATTTGTTTTTATTTCATTACTCCGGGTTCTGCCATTCTCCTGAAGGGGAGGGGGGAAGATGCTGTGAGCTGTCTCTTTGTTTCTTTCTGTTGCTACAATGTATCCCTTCCACTGCTTCTGCATATCTACTCTTTGAACTGTCTCTCCCTTGATGTTACCTTGGGGGGGGGGGAGAAAGGAATGTGCCTCCAGCCATCTGGCTTATCTCCCATTTCAGAAGGGAAGGTGTGAAGACCCAACAACATTGCTGCCAGCCTGGGAAAGACCTGTGTTATCAGCTCCTTTCCCACAATGGATTTAACACCTGAGGTTGTTTGACCTCAGGTGTGAACTGACCTGATGAACTATGGGGTGGGGTTTTGCTTGGGACTCTTTTAACCTATTGATCTGAGCGGGAAACCTTCAGATCCTGCCTATCATGCCTGCTATCAGCTTCTCCTAATAAATGTTCCTTTTGGAAGAAACCGCTTCCACGAGTCCTGCTTTCTTAGGATGAGGTTTTGAAGTGGGCCCTGACACAGAGTCTCCTGCATTCTGGGGAATCTAGGCGATGGTGGACACTATCAGGTATATACATAAAGACTGTGTGAGTAGCAAAGAAATGCCTGGCATGTCAGGCTAACAACGCCTCCTTGACAAAGGCTTTCCACAAAGGGGAACACCATGGGCACCTCACACCTTCAAAATACAACTTGATTTCATCCAACTACCCAGCAGCAATGGCTAGCAATATACCCAAGTGTCCAGGATCAACTCACTTACTGGATGGAAGCCTTCCCTTGCCACCACACCACTGCTCTAGAAACAGCCAGACATCACCTAAAAGACATAGTTTGGTCTACCTAACACCCTGAATATGGATTGAAGAAAATTTTGTTTTTCAAGTTATCACCTTCGTATTGCAAGCATTAGGAATAAAACAAAACCTTCATGCCTCTTCACACCCCCAATCATCAGGGAAGAGTGGAGAGGGCCAATAGGGAACTAAAAACCTTACTAGGCAAGCTATGTCAGGAAACACATTTATCGTGGCCTCAGGTTCTGCCCATTGCCCTATTATACCTGAGAACCCAACTCCAATAGAACATAGGCATTTCCCCCTTCAAATTACCTTTTGGTAGATACCCTGATATATTGAAAGGCTTAGATCCATATTTCCTTAACTTAGAAAAGGGGGACATGGTTCTGTCTTCTTATCTTTCAGCCGTATACAACTTCGAAAGCTATGGAAGCAGAGTGTGCTAATACAGATGCTGTCACTGGAAGAAGCTCTTCACCCATTTGAGTCAGGAGACTGGGTGTGGATTTGGTCCTTCACTTGTAACAGTCCCTTCCAAGTCCTGCTTACCACAAGGACAGATATAAAACTAGTGGAAAAGGACTCCTGGATCCACTGGACATGCATAAAATTATCTACAATTGATCTCAACATCGAGCATACACAGCACCAAATGTTTCACTTATCAAACTCACCAAGACCCAGAGACTGATCAGTGGGACTAAAAACTCTCTTTGAAACTAACAAGAATAGTGAGAACAGACTGAAATGGCAGGAGGCATGTGTCAACGCTGCTAACATTGGATGTTCTTGCTCTGACAAAATGTGCAGAGCTGTGTGGTATTTTTAGAGTTAACTCAGATGACCTGGGAGGGGAGGAGAAAGAATGTATGTGGGTAATTATGTTAGATAAAAATCCCGCGCTGTAAACGGAAGAGAACCTTTACCCTTCAACCTGATAGCAGAACGTGATTTATGACAGCAGATTGAGGAAGGGAACATGCTGGCAAAATATGTGCTCAGGGGAGGAGAATTTAGATCTTAGCATCCCTCTTCATGCCATGCTGACATTTTGTTACATGAATAAAAGACTTTTTAGGAAAAACAATGCCTGGAAGTTCTTTGAAGTGTTTCATTAGTCGGAACCTTGACATCATGCTAAGATCTCAAACCTTTTCAAATGACCTGGGGTCCTGAACTCCATCCGCTGTTTCTAGGCTTGAGAGGAGTTGGTAAAGATTCAGGGGAGGAAAATCTATCATGAGAAAAGGGAGTTTGCTTGAATACCCAGCAGCTGCTGATAATCCAGAGGGGGAAGCAACAGACAGCATGCTGTGGGAAGATGAATTTTGGCAGACAAATGGCTGGCAGACAAATACAGGTCAGTGGAGAGCTACCAGGTCGCCTGCCACTGAAGATTCGGGTGAGTCACTGGAAAGACTTGAAAAGCTAGAGGTAAGAAGCAGAAATCAGCTCCTGCAGAGAGAAGCCTGCAGCCCCTCCCTTGCAGATCAGACAGCCTTTCAGATCCTGTCTTTCCCTGCCAGGGACTCCAGCCGTGAAGAGAGAGGGAATCCCAGTCTGAGGCCTCTGCAGCAATGGGGAGTTTGGCACCCCCCACAGGTAGATGATCAGCAACATCTGAGCTTGCCACAGCTAATAGAGGCCTTACAACAGTTTGGGGTGGTGCAGAAGCCAGGAGATCAGCAGCTGGTGGGAGGATGACCACAGCAAGGAGATTGGTCACCGCCCCCGAACGTACAGCAAATGCTGAGGGACTTACAGCAACAGGGGGCGTGGCCACAGCCCCTGAACGTGCAACCCCTAGGTATGAACCAGCAACCAGGATGGGGCCAGCAGCCGCAGCCGGGACCCCAACAGGCTATATTTGCAACCTCTTTCAGAGCAACCTTCGATGGGGACCCAGA